CGATCGTTTCCATAGTATTCGCAAAGTTACGGTGGAAATGACATTTTGTTGTTCTGATAGCAATAATGGTTGTCAGTCCAGTCCATTCTCCCCGGAATCCTGAGGCAGCACTACTTCAGCGGTGTTACGTGGACGAGCTTGTACCAAGCAAGTCTCATAGGAATCTCTCTCCTGAATGTTTAAGAAAACGGATTTTATAATAAGAGTTAGAAAAATAATGAGCCGTAGATAGATATGGCGACAATGAGACTACGAGACAAGGTACGTTACTATAAGGAAAAATCACCCATGAGACGTAGCCACACATATAAACCTGGGAGTCTTTCGTTGATTATAGAAGCTAGGAAATGAATGGAGTGCGAGAAGTGTTGTGAGAAGATCCGCGCAGTCGATACGAGAGACGGTTCACATATACAAAAATATAAATATGTTTGTACACATGTATTTATACATATATATACATATATATGGAAAGAGAGCACGTATAAGAAGAAACGTCTCATAGTAAGTCGGTACAGTTATTCGAGTCCAGAGAAAAATCGTTTGCACAAGGCACCTCCGGCTTTCAACATAGACGGATAAATGTTTTATAGTTTCTGCATAATTCGGTTGTTAACAACTCTAGGTGTGATAGAAATTATGTCATAGTCACAGTTTCAGCTTCTATTTATTGTTTATTCTTTTTTCATGGTAGAGTGCGAGGTGAAATACAACCCCAGGACCGACAACATTTAAGCAAAAGTAGTAACTTCAGTTAGGTTTCGAAACTTTGATTACCCTGACCGCTACCTCAAAAAAAGTTTTTATTACTAAATTTATCGAACTGGGACGTATTTTCTCCTCTACAGTTATTCCGAAAAGATACCGTTTCGTAGCTTTTAGAAATATTTCTTTGCCTCACCAATTTCAGAGATTCTTCCTTCCGCTCCTTTCCCGTGCACACGCTAGTGGCTGTTCGAAACATAATTCTAACAATCACCCTTTTGTTGAGTGAGTGGTGAGCGGAGGTGTAGTGAACCACTATGTTCTTTCCACTTGAATTTCGGTACCATTTTGTAATGTGGCCGTTTTCGCACATGTTGAATTAGAGGTCCAAGAATGAAAGCCAGCTTTCTTTCTGTTCCTCTCAGGTGAATGTTATGCACTCTGCCTGTTCGTGACAGTAATGAACAAGTACGTTTTTGTTTTTTCAAAACTTATAAGTTAGCAACCAGTAATTATTTGGCATCTACCAACCTCTCAACCGTCAAAGACAGACCCATTCGCAATCAGTTGTGTAGACGGGTCCATGTATAGGATAGCTTTCTTTATAAATCTAATTGCCATCCAGTTGCTTAAAAACATCCAAGTAAATCTAACGAATACCAAAATGATCCTGGACCACCCACGTAGCGTCTGTCTAACTGCGCCTATGTCATGGAGTCATTCGAGGTTATCACCTTTCATACTAACGCTTCGAATGACTCCGCTGTGCAGTCCGCTTCCAACGCTTTATGCAATATGAGGGAACAGTAAACATGTATGCCTTCTCGATTCAGCAGATCATGGCTCCCTCAAAGGAGTGGATAAACTGCTCAATCTTCAGATGATCCGGAATATTTCATGCACGAAAGAGGATTAACAATGAGACAGCAATTGGCGCCAAGAATTGCAAAAGCGCTCATGTGTAAAACTGAAGCCGCCGATATCCCACCACTGTAAATATATAGACCACTCTCAGCTATTTCTATTGATCTTTATCGAGACAGGCGAAACGAAGGACCCGCATGGTGTGGTGGTGAACGCGTTACTCCCCGGAAAGGACAATAGCGCGTTCGTTCCCCACCATAGACACCTGCGGTCCAGAGTTTTGCAAATATCTCAGCAACGTTGTGGTGGTATTTCGCTTAGTAACCTGCCATGAAAATTATAGAAGGCAGAAAACAAAACGTTAAACATATAGACCATTGTTTTATCATCTGCATAGCTCAAGAGGAAATGAATAAATGTTTTGAATAGCTAAATCGACAGTCAGCGTACATTAAATTCACTCGAGAACAACCGAAGAGAGAGTGTCGTCCGTTCAAGAACGCAGAAATCAAAAATTTTAAGACGGCCACATAACCAAAATCTACGGGAACCCAAACAACAAAAGCATACTTGTTCATTACTGTCACGAACAGGCATAACATTCACCTGAGAGGAACAGAAAGAAATCTGGGCTTCCATTCTTGGACCTCCAATTTAATATATGCGAAAACAGCTATGTTACAAAATGATACAGAAATCCAAGTGGTAAGAACATAATGGTTCGCTACATCTCTGTCCACCCCTCCCTCAACAAAAGCGTGGTTGTTACAATTATGTTTCGAACAGCCACCAGCGTGTGCACGGGAAAGCACCGGAAGGAAGAATCTCTGAAATTGGTGCGGCAAAGAAATATTTCCAAAAGTTACGAAACGGTATCGTTCGGGATAAGTGTGGAGGAGAAAACACGTCCTAGTTCGATAAATCTAGTAATAATAGGCTTTTCGTTTTTAAAAACGTGGCTGAGGGGATGATAAAGCGGTGGCGTCGGTTGCTGTGGTGGAGAGCACGAGGGTAGCGGTAACGGTAACCAAAGGTTGGCAACCCAACTGAAGCTCCGAGTTTTGCTCGATTGTTGGCAGTCCTGAAGCTGTATTTCACATCGTAATCTACCATGAAAAAAGAATAAACAGTAAATAGAAGCTAAAACTGTGACTGTGACATAATTTCTATCACACCTAGAGTTGTTAACAACCGAGTTCTGCAAAAACCATAAAACATTTACCCCTCTGTGCCTCGTGTACGCGATTTTTCTCTAGACTCGAATAACAGTACCAGTTTACTATGAGACGTTTCTTCTTATATGTGCTCTCTTTCCATATATGTACACATACATATATGTAAATATGTACTGCATATATATATATATATATATATATATAAATGCAAAACCACTTGGATACTTGGACGGCCAGTCCTCACTAGCTGTGCGGACCTCAGAATAGTGTGCGGTCTCCATCATTTCGCTGTTTTGCGGGTTTAGCCATATTTCCCTAGATGCCCGAGGTCGTTGTGTTCAAAGTCTTCCCCAGATCGTCACCACCACAGGCGCTCGGCGACCAATCAAATAGAGATTTGCCACCATGCGACTAGTTTGGTACCAGGACGGTGGTGGGTCTGGGTACTGATTTACTCCTAGCTTGGCTTCCTGGTAGAAACGCCGGACTCCATCTCAGCTAGGGAAACCCTGCCTGGTGATCAATCCCCAGTTATACATAGCAACCCGACACCACCCAGGAACAACTAGCCACGATGACGCGGTGTACCGTTGTTAGGATATATATATATACATATATCTAAATTCATACACATATACATATTTTTCTATTTTTATATACACGAACTGGACGATGTGTAGAGCAATGGTCGTAGGCGCACTGCAACACACACGTGGAATCGATCCCCGTGCCCATGGCCCACCAATCCTTCCATCCCTCGGGGATCGCAAATTGGTACCAGACTTGTTAGCAGTACTGGCTCGATACATCGGTGCGCCACCGCAAGTCATTGTAAAGGCCAGATATGCATTCAATCACCCACAATGCTTAATGATATCTAATGCATGGCGCATCATTCAGGGGTTAATATATGCTGAGAGCTTCAACCTTTTTATCCCTTTATATCTACTAACCGTCTTTCACATTTTCACATTTACAGTGCGAATCCCAACACTTCTCACATTCGATTCGTTTCCTCGCCTCCATTATCAACGAAGCTCTTCCAGCTTTATACGTGTGGTTACGGCTGCTGCTCGAGGATTCCTCCTGCATCATAAATGTCGTTGAGTGCTGGTCGAATCGGTTTTCCCTCGTGTCAAGAGATAGCCGTGTTAGAGAATTCCCACTTTATATTGCGGAGAATGAGTTTTTCTCAGACAAGTCGGGCACCAATTTCTTGACCCCAGAGGAATGTGACGCTTGGTGCGCCCGGAGCGGGATCTAACGAGCACCGTCCTCGTGGTGATCGGCGTCACTACGATGTTACCACCCAGGCCTATGGATCCCCATGGTCCTGGTATCAAACTAGTCGCATGGTGCCAAATCTCCATGTAATCTACAAGTGCGGCGACACCCTGCGGTGGTGACGACCTGGGGCAGACTTTGGCCAGGCTGACCTCGAGAATGCAAGGATCCACAATGGCTAAGCTAGGAGATCTCCAGAAAAATAGAAATTATGCTGAAGCCCGCACAACCAGTGAAGACGAGCCGTCCAAGTGCCCAAGTATGTATACAACTCAGTCATAGGGCGTCGATATGAGACTACACAGACATTTCTGTACGCTCTCCAGCGCTTACATTCTCTATGGTGGCCGCCTCACTAACAATAGCCTCCCACCGCAGAATCACCTTGTCCGAAAAGAAAAGTTTATTTATAAATTATTAAGTGTGGCGTATCGGCTTTCCCGAACCACGCCTTATGCCAACTTCCGTGACGGGCAAGCTAACGATCGAAACGGAAATATTGCAGCAAACGAAGTAATCGGGAAGAACATACATTACACATGATTCGTATAGTCGGGAATGTGCCAACAATAATGATTAAGAATCACAGGCAAGTCATCTATAACGTGAGATACAACGAGTAAACGAATATCGAATACTAATTCAGTGCTAAAACTATTCCACTATGAGAAGTAAATGCATAAAACACAGGTTCGTCTCGTCACCTCTACCTGGGCAATAAAAAAATCGTCTATGGAATTCTTGAAAAAAATTTGGTGTTTCACTTCGACACTGTGAGTAGTTTCCATCATCCATCAGATGGCAAAAATCATCGCGCAAAAATAGTACAACTGACACGTCGTGTACATCGTAAAGAGGAGTTATAGAATAAACTATAAGATGAGTTAAAAACGGTTAGCTAAACAAAAGGTGGAAAAGGAATGCGACCCGACGACTAGCAAATGCAGGTAATGAAATATAAAAACCAACGTATCAATGAGATGAAAAGGTTGACGACATATTAGTAGGACTTTCTTTTTTCACATAAACTTCTCTGGAGATTTCCCTCTGTAGTCCAATTAATCGTGCGTGAACATTCTCCAGAATTCGGCATGTACTTGTTACGCGCCTAGAAAATTCAGAATGGAATGGAATTCGTTGTGAGAAACGAAAATAAACGTCCATGCTAGTAACATGACAGAACCTACTTGCTGCTATCATTAAGTTTTCTCGAGTAGGAATCGAGTTCATACGGTTGTTCTTGGCTCAAGACTTGTAAGAAGTTGCATAATTCTTGTATTTGCGCGGCGAGGAAGACCTAAACACTGCACGCTGCTCGTAATGAAAAGACACACATTTCGTAAAATTGGGTAAAACACATGAAAAGCAATAAATGTAATCTGAAAGGACCTTGTGCACCGAATTTGAAGGCAGAATTAGAGGAGAAAGCACCGTCTATAGCAAGGTACATGTTTTAAAAAATATTCCACGGTGTATCAAAAGTCGAAGGGAGCGTGTAGCACATTGGTTAGAGGTGCCCTGCAATACACATGGGTTCGATCCCCCACCCCAGGCCCACTAAACCTTCCATCCTTCCGGGGTCAGCAAATTGGTACCAGATCTGCCTGTGAGGATAGTAGCACTGACTCGATACATCGGCAGCTCACCGCGGCTCATTGTATAGACTAGATATGATGCATCTTCTCACCTCTAACGATGATTGATGAAAAGGTATGCATAGCAAATCCCTCTACGATTGATCAATACTTACAGCTTTCTGGCTTATCCTCTTTACTACATGTCGAAAAGTACCAATCATACATTTTGGTTAGCCAAAAATAGCAAACACTACCAGTGAAAGCATAATGTTCTATGAAAGAAGTGGTATACCGAAGAATTACAAGTAAAACTACTCGGCAAAGTTGCCATTCGTGAAGAAAGGCGTTACCAATACCAAGATCCACCACCGTCATGGTGTTAAAGCCGCATGGTGGTAAATCTCCCCCTGATCCACAAAGGCGCCGAGTGCCTGTGGTGGTGACGACCTGGGCCAGACTTTGCTCTGGCTGATCTCGGAACTCCAGGAAACCATAATGGTTTAACCAACAAATCTCCGAAAAATGGAGATTATGCTGGGTCCGCACAACCAGTGAGGACGGGCAATCCAACTATGAAGTATCAAAACGGCGTTTAGCAGTTTTGCCGCTTGTGGCACCGCCTAGTACTCAGCCTTCATGGAGTTGCTGGTTCTTTGGAAATAAGCGATAATTTTTCGATAACTGCAAAACTTGAGGAGGTGCAAGCACGACACGATTATACAGGAGAATTTGCTCTATCGTCCTCTGGGAATTAGCAACATGACGTTCCATCATACTCAGTTCTGTCAGCGTTTGGAAGCGTTTAACAACTTACGCTGTGTCTATTTCAGTACTTTTGAGACACAGCGCCTACAAGTGGAATAATAGTCGATGCGCAGTTAAATTACTGGCCAATCAACTCGTTCGAGAAATGTTTTGTTTTGTTTCTTGTACATTCACATGTGCAGCTTTTCCCAGCCGATGCCCTTTACATCTCCATAGGATAACCTATTGATATATTACAAGAAGATTAGAAAAAGGTTTGTGCGCGCGAAAATAAGCTATCAAAAGAAATCGACCACTATATAGTTCATACCGGGGATTCGGCGTGCAGTAAGCGGTTGTACAGAATGCACATCGTCCGTTATGTTTTAGTGGTGCAGACTGCACACACCTGACTTTCACGTGCAGAAAGAACTTGAGCATCAAATCGTTGGATAGCAGGTCTGATTATTGACATCACTTCCATAACCATATGGGATCCTTCAGCTGCTTCCTGTGATTTGGCTCCCGTAGACATTTCGGTGGGACTAGGTGAACCCTTGAAGAGAAAAATTCAAGATTTTCACATAATCCTTAAGACGCTTGTCATTTTTCTAAACCATTCGTTCTTTTCACAGATTTGAACAGTTTCTCTATCCCTTGGGTGCCATTTTTTGATAATGATTGTTCAAAATCAAGAAAAGTCGAAGAAAAAATAACGACTTCAAGCAGTATGTGTATATATTTCGCTCAATGAGTTGTGAAGTTGCATGGATGAGTTTTTTTTAAAAGGCAAGTAGTTTAAAAACTTGCTAACTATACGGACTGAGACAGACCGAAGGACAACATACGACGAACCAAGCTCAACAATTGTTCACTCGTTGAATATTCAAATGAACGTAACCCTGAAAACAGAGATGAGCTATGTGAGTTTCTACGGTGATACGAATAAGGATGATACGAGAGAGCGAACTGTAGAAAGACATAGATCAACAGCCTTCCCATTCCATCAGGTGACCCGGAGACACACAAGCGTTCGCCCTTGTCGCTGGAGCGGCCTTCGAAGCCTACGTCTCTGGCGCGCGCTACGTTCAACACCATTCCGAGCTCGCCTTGTACAGTTGGTATTCTGTAGTAATTTCAGTCCCCCAATGGAATTGAAAAGTAATGCATGTCAGTTCCCTCATAATACTGACAGTTACACGAGAAATTCTTTGCAGATTACTAAAAGACTTCATCAGAGAGAGCTAAATATGCATTTTTTCAATGGTAATCTTGTATTCCTCCCAACGGTTTACAGCCTCATCGTGGCTGGGAAGTGTTCCTGGGTGTCGGGCTGCGATGTACAGCGGGGAATTCATCCCAATGGCAGTGTCTCCCAAGCTGAGAAGAAGTCCGGCGTTTCCATCAGGAAGCCTAGCTGAGAGTAAACCGATACATGGTTCCAGCATTGTCCAGGTATGAAACTAGTCGCATGGTGACAAATCTCCCTCTGATCCACGATGACGGCGACTGGCTGTGGTGGTGACGACCTGGGACAGAGTTTGGCCAGGCTAACCTCGGAATACCAGGGAACCATAATGGCTTAACCAGCAAATCTGCGAACAATGGAGATTATTCTGGGGCCTGCACAACCAGTAATGACGGACCGTTCAAATATCAAGTAAGTAATCTTATACTGGGAACCTGTAGACGGTAAGTTGTAGAGTTTTACGTTGCTAGCACTATATTAACCTTACTAATCGTAATTTAGCTTCCATCTCATCCTTTTTTGTGCAAATGTCACTCACCGTCTTCAGATATTGATTATTCATTCAAAATTTGGATAATATGCAGCATATTTCTTTAGTCGAAGCCGTTTAAAGATATTTAACAGTAAAGTTTACAGTGTAAGTGTAGCGTACATTTTATAAATCATGTTTATGAAGTAGGAAGTTATCGCGCTCTAATGTAGGCGTAACTCGGTCAACGAAAATTCTCAATGGGACTTAATATATCCGCATGTAAATATATGTGTATTGTTTGTGTTTAGCTTGCAGGACGCTTTCAGTACTTTCAGTACAGACCGTGGAGTTAAGTGGCACGTTGTACTTTCTCGTGTGCTTTTCTCAGTGTGGTGTATCTAGCGTATTGTCGTGTTTTGATGATTTGCTGATATTGATTTAAATAGTGGCTGAGATTCTCCGAAAACCATAGTTCTGCTTAAGATTTCTTCAAGCTATATCCACTGTTAAGTAGAAGCTGTGTTAATGAGTGCTTATTTAAGGGAGCACATCATAGTTTACGAACATTTGTGTCCAGATGGCAAATCCCAAGGCCGCCTTTTAAGCTCGGTATTGATCAATAACTTACTGTTTTTCATGATGAGGAAACACGAGGTTGTTGTTACAGCATTTATGAATACAACAGAAATAAACAACAACGTAATATTTGGTGATCAGAAAAGCAGTGAGCGTTATGTGGCCGTGGTTTCTTTGGCTTAGACTTCGATTACAGATTGTGGTGACTCAGGGCTTCTGTGAAATAAAGCACCATAGCTCACAGAGGATTCGCTCTTACTCCTTCACCTTTCTAGCACCAGATACTGAGGTATAACTTCGATGATTTTCTGTCGTTTAAAGGAATGGGCACGTGTGGTGCAGTGGTCGGAATCGCCCTGCAACACACACGTGGAATCGATCCCCTCGCCAGCAAGCTTTCCATCCCTCCGGGCTCGGCAAATTGCTACGAGACTTGTCTGGGAAGATCGCAGCACTGGCTCGATACAACGGTAGGTTGCCACGAGTCACTATAAAATCCAGTTATGCATTCATGGACTTCTAAATGATGTTTTGCAGTAGTTGAATGCATGGCGCATCCCTCAGGGAATGATCAACGCCGAGAGCTTTATTCTTTATCCCTTTAAAGTGATGTTAGACTGCATGATGGCCAGTGAGACCCGTGTATTTCAGTCACGACGTCCTTCCATTGCTCCTGTGATGAGATTCGTTAGAGGGACACTTCAGTCCTATAGCAACAAATTTCGTTCACAGTTTGAATATTGGAAGTGTTTTTGAACGTATTTTAGCTTGGAAATGGTAAGCAGTTCGTTTAAGTTAGTATTAATGAAAAGGGATGAAGCTCACCGTGTTGATCAATTCCTGAAGGATGCGCCATGCATTCGACTTCATTAAATATTGCAGGAGGTGATTCATATCTGTCCTTTACAATGACTCACGGTGCCCTAGCGATGCGTCGAGCCAGTGCTGCTATCCTCCCAGACAGGTTTAGTGCCAATTTGCCGACGCCGGAGTGGTGGACGGCTTGGTGGACCAGGGGCGCGGAGATCGATCCCATGTGTGTTGCAGGACACCTCCAACCACTGCATCATACGCGTCCTTTGGTTGGGTATTAGAACACTTTATTGAGAACAGAGCTGGATGCATTGGTTGCGGTTTCTTTGGTTCTTTTCTTAGTTTATGAGGTGCAAACAAATCTATGTGATGTTTATTTTATCATGCGAAGTAAATTTGCAGAGCAGTGGGCTTACAATGTGTTTTGTTATCTCCTGGCTCTTTGTTTTCAGGGCTGTCTTGACTTTTTTCGTAGTCGGTGAGAAATGTGTATAATGGTTTGGAAACTTGGGAATAATTGTCTCTGCTTCGTGAAAGATTCCCAATTTTTGTAAGAAAAGTACGAGACACATTACTCAGTGATAATGTAAGAAGTGGCCGTCACTGATTCGTATAGCAGTATAGGGACTTTTATTATAATTTCAGGGTTATGCCATACGTGAATGACAAACACGACTCACTACGCCTACGTCGATCCGTCTCGAAGTCCTCTGCTTCTGATCGGCGCGGTTGCATGTCAGATGACAACGCTGAGTATCAGTCGGATGATTCAGAGTACCGTTTGTTCATTTCTTATGGTCGATAGCGCAAAACAAGCTTCTATGGTTGTATCAAGACGCGAACATAGTATTTAGCACGGTTCAGTGGTTTTTTGGTGAAAATTCGCAGCGTAGTTTTCACTACGTGGTCTGAAAAGATAAAAGATGCTATTTGCTTTAAAAGTTTAGTTATTTGATAATTAGCAAGAGGTTGAGTATGAGAACAGTCCTTTGATCTTATTAGGAGGAATACATGTGTAGCTTGTAGCAGGGAATTATGTTCCGCTCAACAGTTATTATCTATAGTTAGATATTATAGATATAAGTTGAAAGGCACACCTGCAGAGGTAATTTGGTTGGTATGTGGGTTATGCTAGAGTGTGGTTTTCTTTCCCTGTTTACACATTGACATGCTTAGTCTTGGCATAGCCTGATTTTCTCTACAATTCTATTATTACTATTCTAGAGCGGCAGTGGTTCTTGTCAAAGTTCTCGGTGTTAACCAATCCCTGAGGGATGCACCGTGCCATCGACTTCATTAAACATCGTTGAAGGTGATTAAATGCATACCAGGCGTTTACAGTGACTGGCGGTGGCCTACTGATCTATCGAGCCAGTGCTGCATTTTGCTTACCTAGAGTGCCGAGCACAGCATGGTCAAAGTCTGCCCCAGGTCATCACCACCACAGGCTGTCGCTGCCTTTGTAGATCAGAGGGAAATTCGCCATCATGCGACTAGTTTGATACCAGGACGTTGGTGGATCCTCGTATTCGCTCGGTCTTAGCTAGACTTCCTGATAGAAACGTCGGAATCCTTCTCAGCATGGGAGACCCGGCTGGGGGATGAATCACCCTTCTATACATCGCCAACCGACACCCAGGAACACCTTCCAGCCATGAAAAGGCGGTAAATCGTTGGAAGGAAACCATATTCAGCAAAGAATAATTCTCATTAGCAAATAAGTATGTGGTGCAATCGAAAGTGTACGCAGAAATAGCGAATTCCGTAAATTACTGTGTAGTTGTCTACAGTTATAATTCTAAGTTGGATAGATTCATACGTAGACTGTAAACGAAGCAAGTTAATCAAATATTTCATTGCGCTATAGTTTTATAGAAATTTTCATGCAAGGAGCATAGCGTTGTACTCTACCATTCCAGAACACTGTATGGTTATAAAGAACAGAGAATTTGTGTTGTCCGAGTTTAAGAGTTATTCTCATAAATTTTTCCTCCTTTGCAGAACAGTATATCATTGCAATTAATTAAATCAACATAAGAATATCGTTATTGGAGGAGTATCTTGAATATCCCTTGAATGTAGAATTTTTGAAGCTCCTACAAAAATAAGCTTAAAAATGGGCGTGAACATTTCGCTGTGACTAAAGGGTCCTTTGCAAAATGGCCATTAATTTTTTAGAGTTCTCGAGTCACTTCATACTGGTGGAGAATCTGTGAGCTTTGTTGCAAAGAAAGCTGATGAACTCGTAAGAGGACGAAACGATGAGAGACGTTCTGGCTTAACAGAGAGGAAGACTCATAACATTCCCGTTGATGAGAATTCTTCGTGTTTGTAAGTTCTTATTACTGCATTTAATACGCTAATATTTCTTAAGTTTTTTTCTCATCATTGATTTTTAGATAGATTCTCACAGTGTTAGCTATGCTAAATTCTTTTCCATAACTGTACTGGTTAAAAGTGCTTGCCTATAAAACCAGCAGGACTGACATTTATCATTTTGTAGGAGCAGACTGTGTATATTATTGTTAGAAAGGACACATGCAGTTTTTCTTCTGACCTGACTTGTGTCTAACAGACAGATACTTCGACACTTGGTTACTTGGATGGTCCGTCTTCACTGCGTTGTGCGGGCTCCACATAATTCCCATTTTTTCGGAATTGTGGTGGTCTGGCCACTGTTGTTCCCTGGAGTCTCGAGGTTATCCTGACCAATGTGTGCCCCAGGTCGTCACCACCACAGGCAGTAGCCATTGTGGATTCGAGGGTGATTTGCCACCATGCGACTAGTTTCATACCAGCACGGTGGTGGATTCTAGTATTGGTCTACTCTTGGCGGGGCTTCCTGGTGAAAGCGCTGGATTCCTTCTCAGTTGCGAGACCCTGCTGAGGAAATGAATATCCCTCTTGTAGATTGCAGCCCGACACTCAGGAACACCGCCCAACCAGGATGTGGTGGTAAACCTTTGGGAAGATAGACAGATAACAACAAAAAGATGTACCGAGCTTTTTAGCGTTGAGTTTTAATGCATGGTACTTGTAAGGCAAGATAAAGCAGTGCTTATTGCGATTCCTCTCTTCAGTTAAGAATCGACTCAAGTGGCGGGATGTAAGCATCAAGTGTATTTGGTTAATAGTCAACCCTATTTTTAGAAATTCGTCGTTGTTTGGCAACATCAATCTTTTACTATTCACTGTAATCATTGTTTTGGTAGCGTTTTATATCTCAATTATATGGCGTTCGGATTCGTTCGGCACAGTGATCTCCGTGGTAGTTCTGTTTTTTCTGCTTACAAATCTGTGTTTTCTTACCTACAGTAGCTATCTTTAGGAGTCAATACGCAAGAAATTGCAAGACTTTGAAGCGCATTTATCTGAAAGTATGGGTAAATTTGAAAATGTTACTGGTGATGACATATATACGCTATACTTTGTTGGAAGACAGGTGCCTAATGGTGTTATTCTACACAATGTTTGAGGTTTTCTCACAATTTCTTATGTGTAATGTAGGCTAGGCTTTAGGTGGTAGTTGTAATTTAATCTGAAGACTTTATGCGTAGCTTAGAGATTTGTCCATTTTAGTAGCATCGTTGTAAAAGGAGTATCTATTTCAGTGGTTCATGATGCTTCAAGAAAGCCCTATCGTCTTGATCGTTACTGGGAAGCAGAGCAGCGATGTGGTTAACACTATATCTGAAACATTTGGAATAGCATTCCAACTTTCTCGACCTGTGGATGCATTTGAGTTAACCTCCCAGTCAAGTAGAGCTGATCTTCATGAGAGATTAAATCAGAGCAAGTTGTTTAGCTTGACAATTTTGTAACTCCTGCCATTCATTGATATTTTTGTGCTAGTAGACGTTGACATATAAGTTTTTAGTCCGTAATCAGCAGCTTTATAGCTCTGCGCTCGGATGTTCCAATTGCGGTGCTTAACGGAATAGATCAACTCTTCTGGGATGCACCGCTTGTCTTACAGGCGTTTTCTGACAATTCCTTTGTTCCATCTCCTCACACGTTACTTCTGCTCTCGGTTAAGAAAAGTTTCCTTGGACCAAAAAAGGTCTGCGAGCAATCATTAATGGAGTGAGTTGGTTTCAAGAATTTTTTTTGTGTTTGAAATCTTCGGAAGAGTTTTTGCCGTTTAACATTTTCCGCGCTCTGTTTTCCTTCAATTTGTGTTTTTGTTGCTTAGCATTTTCTACACGTTATCATCTTTTGATCTTGAACGCCAGGCTCCTCAGCTTGAGGGACACTGCTGGAGGGATGAATCCCGCCGGTGTACATCGCAGCACGACACCCAGGAATACCTAGCCAACATGGGGCAGTAAACCGTTAGGAGGACCGGTTTTTACTGGGGCTTTTATTAACGAAAGTTCGTGAGATTTTCAATGGGAAATCCTATTATGCGCCCAGTAGAACCCCAGTAATGATAGAAATGTGGCAGGTTACCATCTCTTCTACAACAAACAGACGTCATTGAATAATTCGAGAGGTCGAGTCATGTGTGTTACATACCGTAAGCAAAACAAGTCGTTTTTTCGAGTCGTTATGCTTACGGTATATAACACCGTCATCAATGAGTTTTTTGGGATGCGACTGTTATTTCTTTTATTTTTATATGACCCGTCTTCACGTCTGCTGTGCGGATTCCAGCACTTCTCACATACAATTCGTTTCCTCGCACCCATTATCCACGAAGACCTTCTAGCTTTTACATGTAGTTTCGGCTACTGCTTGAGGATTTTCGTTTTATTTTGAGTATCGTGGAATGCTGATCTAGTTGGTTCTCCTTGGAGACCTGAGATAGCCGGGTTGGAGCATTCGCAATTGGATTGCAGAGTATGATTTTTCCCGGACAAATCAGGTACCAAATTCCCGATCCCGTAATGATGAGAGGCAGGTTAGCCTAGGACGGAATCGAACAGGGGAATAGGAATTGAGTGTATTACCATGTCTAACTGTTATTTAAGCAATTTGTTATATATTTACACTGTAAGCGTTAACCATAACTTATTCCTGCTTTTGATTCAAAGGTAGTTGTGTGAAATATGACTGTCATTTTTCGGAGACATTCATGCTTGTTGAAAAACGGGTCGCGATTATAACACGATAGTAAACTCATTAACGACGAAAAGGAGCAAACTATGGCATATAATAATACTCTATTCTTTAACTATGAGGTGATTGTAAAATTCCTCATATAGGTATCTCAACGCAACATGGATTTCATCTGGCGGTTCAGTTGACAATGTATCACCCATATTGTCACGCATCATGCAATTCATCATTTGCCTGTGATATTATCTGAGTGGATTTTTGATGAAGCACACAGAAAGGGATTATTTCTGGAACTCTCCGTGGGCTTTATATCGTTTGTTACGGTTGCCATTTCTGACACATATTTCATCATTAGATTCCGCTTTGTTATTTCATAGCTCAAGTTATTACATAACGTTTTAGTCAATATCGGAAATGTTGTGTCTTGCCTCCTCATAGTTGTATTTTAACCAAAGATTTAGTTCTGTATGAAGTCCGGGAGCATCAATTTTGCATCCTATGAAATTTCGATTGTAGGTTCGCGTGACTAATTTTATCACCAGTTTTGTTTTCTTTGCTTTGCTATGTTCATCCATATAGGTACTTACGTCTTTGTGATAAAACTCTCATGTTGTTTCACGTTTATTAAATGTCATTTTCCAAGTGTAAAAATCTACGTTGTACAGTGATATCAATTCAAATTTCGCATACCTAAATGAATTTAAATTTGTAACATGATGCTACAAGGGTGTTTATTTCTTCACATGTGGCTGTTGGAAGAAACATTTTGGCAAAAGAACAATTCCGCTCAACCCAAGAGAGAACGTCCGAGACTCCGTATGAACTCGCATAGTGTTTTACCTGAAATTTAGAAGACCTCTATTGTATTTTTGACAGTAAAACTATTTCATTGGTACTAATTCGTTTTATTGTAGATACGAACTTGTTTGCAGTGAGTTGGTGATAGAAGTAGTTGTCGCCCTTCCTTATCACGAGGTATATCCTGTGCTTTTTGCGAAACAATGGGTCTTCCTCTGTTTTCCTTTCTCAGTGGTCTCTGAAAAACTGTCATTGCTTTACCTTTTATTCTTTAGCATTTCCTGCGCATTCTCGTGTTCACCGTTGCACTCCGTTCAAAATTAGGCCCATGGCTTAAATTACTTGCAACATTCATTAGGTTGTTCCGTAGTATAAACTGTTCTTCCGCACACGACTGTACTATTCGTTGAAAATTTATGCGAAAATGTAAGCATTCGATGCTTTGCCGAAATTGTGTCTGGTGCGGTCTAGTAGGTCTAGTAGCTCCATCAGTACTTTAATTCCCTTATAGGATTTTCTGTGGAAGAGCCTTGCTACGGGAATTGTTTTTTAGATTATATTCTTCTGCTGGTCATTCACATGTGGGGCATTTGAAACAGACTAGCTGTGAGGTTGCACATAGTCCGAGGTGGCATATAACCGGCTAACTGTGAACATGAAACGACGACGCAATTACTGGACATAAGATGTGAATTACATGGATCGCCTTTTTGTCTCTGCTGTACCGGATTGAATTGTCTGTTCATAAAAGACTTAGTCTATAGGGCGCGTATAGCGCAGTGGTCGGTGGTCTCTTTCAATACATATGGAATCGATCCCAGCGGCCTAGGTCCATGAAGCCTTCTATGCCTTTGGGGCCGACAAATTGGTATCTGATTTCTCTGGAAGGATAGCAGCACTGGCACAATACATCTGAAGACCACCGCGAGTCATTGTAAAGCTCAAATATGCATTCAGCCACCTCTAACGATGATTAGTGAAGACGAATGCATGGCGGCACATTCTTAAGGGGTTGATCAACGCCGAGCTGGGATCTTTTTCTTTTTTTAAAGGTTTAATCACATTTCTGCATAGGTGAGCTTGCTTATATGAGGGGCGTAGCATACACATCAACTCTGCCAAAAGCATGCAGTTAAATGAATAAATGGGGTATGTTACATATGGGTGCTTGTAAGACATAGCCTTCAATACATGAGCACAGAGTCTACTCCAACAGTTTGGTAAGTTATAACCGTAATGATGCTGACATATGAGCAAAACTCTGAACCTCAAATGTGCTTCGTGATTACCACGAACCCGTGATTACCCTTTCTGGGGTTCACGTGCTACTCACTGCACCACGAAGCACCTTGCCTTGCCTTTGTCTCGGCCAATTTTTTACTGGCTAATAAATGAGCTCGTGCTTGATTGAGTCATCGGTTATCGTTATCAGTTTTGGATAGCAAATGGTAGAAGGAACTTTTTTATGCCTTTTTACCTTGTGTGCTAGAGGTACTTCTATCTCTTCTGAAAACGGTTGTCTGGCGATTTGAGCTGACCCAACAAGTCGAAGTTCTTCTTCAGGCAGCCATGTTGACTGAAATATATTTAGATCGAAAAGAAAGTAGGGTCACTGAGAAGATTGTTAATGCAGCTTCTCCATATGGTCTTAAGATCGGATAGCTATTTTTTTTCTTAAATGAAAGTACTAAAGGTATAATGAACATAGCTATTGAAATCCTGACAGCGTAGATGAGCCACATGACTTGGGTAGCAGTTTATCTCGGAACACCAAACATTATAATGTTCTTCTCATAACTCCATTATTTTTGTTATAGCGGGAAAATTCGGTCTCCTACGACTTTTTTTGAAATGTGGCTTATTTCGTATGGTTGCAAAAGTAGCCCATGCGTCACTATTACTCTGCTTGATTGGTAATCTCCTCAAATCTACTATTTATATTACAGTTCACTCAGACATTTTTCGTTTAATACGTCAAAGTCCAACATTGTGGAATTTTATTATTTTATAGGTACCCCACTCCCACGTTGGTCATCATGACTGGATTTCAAAAAAGTCCCCCGCGATTCTTTCCTGTCATGTGTTGGAGTTACTATATTATTTCTGGTCATCAGAAAAACAAGAAGTTAACCACATTTTTCTTCTAGTATCTTCGTGAAATAGTCTGGTAATTGTTCGATGGTTCTTCATAAGCATTGTTTTCCTTAGATCTAACCGTAGCCTATCTTTTACTACACGTCGTTGAACTCAGCTAACATCCGATTGGTTATCGCTTATAAGAGAGGTATCATGCTAAATTGGCGATAGTGCATAATTGTCAGCTATCGACTTTCACATCTATGCTGTTTCTTTTCAATGTTCTCGTATTCTGCAAAAGTAAAAGGAGGATTCTTAAAATGTGCTGAGTAGTTTAAGCGATTTGGGATTGCCTTGTCCGACTCCACTATTTACGTTGATGGTGAGACCCTGGTTCTCCACAGCATTTATGACCACTTCGATCTCAACTGAATTAAATATGCTGTGTATGTCGATGAAATAACAACTCGTGCACTCGCGCTACTTCAATAACTTTTGAAAGTAGGCGGATAGAATCCCTAATGCACTTTTTCGAGACTTTGCTAGAACATATGATAGTTCTTTTGACGTTCTATAAATCCTGTTAAATATTGTGGTTACTACAAGCTTGTAGAGGACAGAAAGCAAATTATGTGACAGACTCCAGAATCGTAGTTGCTTCTTCTCGTTAACAACAATGCAGTTCTGCAAGTTTTCTACAGGCTTGATATTTTTTTTTGTTATCTGTGATATGTAGAGAGCTCAAACGATGTATTGCTGAAAATCGGAGGTGAATTATTAATATGTTTGAGCCCGATTCTATGAATATTGGGTGTTGTAGGATTATTAACTGTAGGAAGATGTGTTAGTTTTCTTAGGAACCACCTAACCTGCTCGGCCGACATATTCATCTTTTTTAAAATGTTATTAAGGCATGTGATATAGTTGATGCAGAGTTCTGAGAAGTCATGGACCATTCTCCACTGAAAAATTGAGCGCAGTAGACGTTCTATCCAGTCGAAGAGCGGTCATCTTGATTTCGTAATCGGCAAGGTCCTGGTGAGTGTTGCACATGTTCTACCCAACCTCCTCATCCCATGTCGTTGTTGCCGTCCTTCCCGCTCGAGAGTTCGAAGACAATCTCGGTGAGGTTTTAGCTCCATCGTGAACTTTTTGGATGAGCCAGTGATATTCTTTCATAAATGTTGTTAACAACAATATCTTTCTAAAATCCGACTGGAGGTCTGAACCATCCCCGAATTGCCACAGTTTCGTTTTCTAAATTTTGTGGTTTTCTCTCCTCAATCTGATCAAAATAAATCTCAGTTTATGGTCGTTTTGGGACTTTGTTTATTGAACTTAGCCCCTTTTCTCGTTTCCAGGAGAAATGTAAGGCAATGATCTGATCCTGACAAAGTTTTGGGACAACAGCGACATCGGTTAGAGAAAACCTTCAGTTTCGCTGATGTGGTCTATTTCGTTATGGTGAGTGCTCTTCATTGGAGGTATCCTATAAAAGAGGATAAAGCTCTCGACGTTGATCAATACCTGAGGAATGCCCCGTGAATTCGACTTCATTAAACATCGTTTGAGGTGACTGAATGCATATTGGCCTTAACAATGACTCAAAGTGGCCTACTGATGTACTGGTGTGAGCCAGTAATGCTACACTCCCATACAAGTCTCTTAGCAATTTGCCTACCTGGAAGGATTCAAGGCTTGACGAGCCTGGGGTGTGGGGATTGGTCCCATGTGTATTGGGTTTTGTGTACAGGGCGCCTACGACCATCGCGCTACGCGCGCCCTGTGTATTTCATATATGTATCCTATATCCCCTGTTTAACGGGAGCTTTCGAAGTTGTCAGTTGCCATAAATGATCTCGCTAAATATGATAAACTCAACCAGCCACCTGTTCTGTTCCTTGCATTTCGGCGCATGTGACTCACATGTAGTCTTTTTGAGATTCCATGAGTCCATTCCTAGCGTAAAAGCCCTAATAATGACTTTACAGAAGTTGTGATCTTCTTTGCAAAAGGTATACATTCATATGAAGTGCAGCGAACTCGTCTTCGTCATAGGTTAGTGTCACGAGAGTTTGTCAAAGAAGCCATTGGTACACACTTTTGCAAGAATCCGTTTATGGCCAATTTCGTTCTGATGAAGATAACAACACCACCGTTTCCAGTCGCATATTCCAACAAACAGTTTCCCATTGTCCGAATTGTAATTGAATGGGGAGGGATGCCTTGCACTTTTTTTCTGTGCATTAATGTTGTACACGGCCTTGGTTCCTGTCATCATGTCTTTAATTGAAGCTTCCAATACTATGTGTGCTTTGCAAGTATTATACAAAGCGTCACCGCATTTCTTCCAGTTTAAAAGATTCTTTAGGGATTAAATGGGGAAATTATTCTAATTTCTTACTGCTTTCGACTGGACATGCTTGTGAATAACCCCCCAGATTTGGCCTGCCTTTAGGTAGGTTGCCATGCCCTTCGTAGACGTGGAGCTTACATCTTTCACTTAGTTTTAAGCTTCTAGTAGAATTTACGCTTGTCATAATTGATCTTGCTCGGCACATAGCAATAGGGAAAAGTGGTCCCGAAGCGAGACAAATTCTTTAGTTGGTGGTTAGCGTTGTACTTAGTAAGCCTTATGTGTGAAACTCTAAGGGCATTTAGAAGTCGACAATCTAATAGATTTCTGGCATCAGGTCCATTTAGAGCAATTCTTTTTGGTTTTTATAGACAGTAGTTCGTCATGGTTGAAAATAATGACATTTTGGTTTATGGTTGAAATTTAGGTGAAAGAAAATTTGAAATTCAAACGCACTTGCTTCGGTACTATTTGGATTTCCATCTCATCGTCGACCTCAAGACATTTGTATTTCTTGGTCTTGAGAGGATTCTTGTTCTCATAAGCGTAGCCAGTTGATGAACAAGCGACCAAAATTACTAGTAATCTCATCTTCGTACACAGTCAGTTATTCTAGATGGTTATCTGGTTGTGATATTCATGATTTAGCAATACAACGACGCTTAGATCGACACCATTCTTTAAATGTGAAGATATCAGCTTTCAAAAAAAGAGTGCATTTAAGAATATCAGTTAGAAACTATTTATAAATTATAATTTCCTAGTCCCTTGGGCAAACTTTGGCCAGGTTGTCGTCGTGGCACCTGTACACCTAGTGAGGATGGGCCGTCTAAGTACCCAAATCCTCTAGTCGAAGCTTTGTCGCATTCATCTGAGGACCTACGACTTAGTGAACCGTTCGTTTTTTGTTTCAATTTTTATCCAATTCCATCCAGTTTGTTTTCGCAACCGATTTTACAAAGCATAAATTGATGTCATTGTTAAGGAAACACGACTATTGTTGTTATTTACATTTATAGAATACTGGTTAGCTTTCCTATGATCTCCACTAGATTATTAGTTCACTTCTAGAAGTTCTTCGAATTATATAAGAAGGGAAAGGAAGAAAGGTGGTGTAGAGTCTTGAATTACTGGCAAAGTCAAGCAAACGGGTATAATCAAGCATTCTTCATGGTTTCGTTGTTGAACTATCGTCCTCGAAATGAAGAAATTTGAAGATAAAGTGTATCTAGCCGCATTATTTCATATTATTTCAGAAGTGTGTAGCATGAAATGCGGTGAAATAAACCAGATACTGAACAAATGTGGAAAGCGGGCTTAATTTTTTGATAATGGTGAAAGAAATGAGTTCGTGATGTGATATCGAGACGGGAGAAAGTGATAAGTGAACCCTTGATCGAATCAATTGACCCAAATGTGTTGCTTCGCGGTGTTGAATGGATGTGATAGAACGAGTTGCAAATGGATATGAGACCTTCTAACTGGATCGGGCACGGAAGTCATCAATTCCAATTATACGCAAGTGTTGAATTTTGAAAAGCACAATGTTCTGATGAGTTCTAAAAGATCCTGTTTAGAAGTGACACTGTGATTTTATATTTTTACTCAATATACCAATTGCATTTCTTGCTACAGATATAGAATTATGGCTAACATACGAATGACGATGACGCCAAGCGTGCACGCGCTGAGTTTTTGTTGAAAGCAACATTACTAATGCGACAGTATTCGGAAATCGTAATCACAAGCATTGGTGTTTGACAGTTACAACTAGTAATTTATTTACTAGATACCTTCCCGTTTGGGCATGCAAAAGCTTTCATTTTTTGGCGAAAAGAACGAAATTTCTCTTCTAAGGCAACATCTTGAGGGACAGCCATCAACCAAGGCAACTGTTACCGTTTAGAAAGCAGTAGAAACGCCTTCACTGTTCCTCAGCACTGAAGTTCTGCATTCAAAGGCATCCTTTCTCTACTACAAAGTGGCAATTCGTTGAGGGAGAGTACTATGAGTTCAATTGTGGTGTAATTGCAGACACGGTATCCCCAAAATCACTTGCTTTCAAAAGTGCTAGATATTCATCAACGTGCTTCAATATAGTGTCTCTTATTTTGAACTCAAAAAAGATTGGACCAAGAAGAACGTCACATTGGGACCCACGCATTAGAATGGAGTAAACAGGGTGAGCGACTTCCTGAGTTTATCATGACGACCAAGACCATCCATGATAACTCACAATTCCAAAAGCCCCATCCTCAACGCTGGAAGTGGGAGTCTCCTAATAGAGAGTACCATAACGAAATAGACCACATCATAGTAAATAGAAAGACCACCGTAAACTGGAACTCATTCAATTCGTTACTAGACTACTGGGAGGATGCCGTTGTCGATAACATCGACGAAGAATACGATCGGCTCATTCAACAGCTTCACGTTAGCACTATGAAAGCTGAGAATTCGAAAGTCATTTAGAGACGTTTGTCTCCAGAAACATTCGAGCTGATACGCCAGCGTGGAATCGCACGTGCAGCGGACAACCGCGAACTAGCGTCCGAACTTGCAAAACAATGCAGAGATTTGATAAAAGAAGATCTTAGAGAGAGAAGAGCAGCAGTAACGGCCGAAGCTGCAGAGGCTGGGAAAATCATTCGCAAAGCTCACCGAAGCTTCGGGAATTACATGACCAAAATGATTGCTCTCCGGCGCCCAGACGGAACAGTTACAGTGTCCAGAAAGGCAATGGAGAAAATCATTCACGAATACTACTCGGATCGCTTCGATAGCCACGCCCACCTTTCGTCATATGAAATAAAGGAGGATGGATATGTTGTACCATCGGTTCTCCCTTCCGAAATCCGACATGCCATTTCGTCGGTGAACAATCGAACAGCTCCAGGTCCGGACAGGATAAGACCAGAAAACCTGTAGAACCTTCCGCCAGTCCTCGTAAACACACTGGCTCGGATCTTCACACATTACCTGTCTGAATGCAAGGTCCCTACTCAGTGGAAGGCCAGCAAAACCGTGTTATTGTTCAGGAAATGTGACCTGCACGATATCGGCATCCATCGCCCAATATGCTTACTGTCTGTCATCTACAAACTTTTCACTCGAGTCATCCTAAACAGGATTGACAGAACACTAGACGAAGGACAGCCATGTGAGCAAGCAGGGTTTCGAAGAGGATTTAGTACGATGGACCACATCCACACGGTAACACTGTTCATTGAAGTATCGCGAGAGTACAAAAGACCGCTCTGTCTCACTTTCATCGATTTACAGAAAGCCATTGATTCAGTTGAGATGGAAGCTGTCTGGGAAGCCCTTGATAGTCAAGAAGTCCCTACTCAGTACATAAAGATTCTTCGTGAGCTATACAAAAATTTCACAACCAAGATATCACCATTCTACAACGATGCTAACATTGACGTCAAAAGAGGAGTTAGGCAAGGCGGTACTATCTCGCCAAAATTATTTACCGCAACCCTCCAAAACATCATGCGAACATTGGAATGAGATAATATGGGATTGTGAATTGACGGTCGATAGTTGCACCATCTTGGCTTTGCTGATGACATAGTCCTTATAAGACCGAACATTAGCCAGGCGGAACGTATGCTTGACGACTTTGATAAAACCTGTGGAAAGAAAGGCCTTCTTCTAAATCTCACAAAAACGATGATCATGAAGAATGGATTGGTTTCGCATGCCCCATCCACGCTCAACGGAAAGTAATTCTTTGAATGCTCCAGTTATATCTATCTAGGTCGGGAAATCAATATGATGAACGACCTAGCCCCAGAGCTGAGCGGAGGAAAACCAGCGGCTTGGGGAGCTTTCAAGAGGATCGAGGATGTAGTGAAGAGAACAAAGAACACCCGACTCCGTGCCCACCTTTTCGACCCAACGGTACTTCCTGCCCTAACGTATGCGTCAGAAAAGTGGTCGCTGAATAAGCGGAATGAAAGATCACTCAGCGTTATCGAACGCGCTGTCGAAAGGACGATTCTAGGAGTATCCCGTTCCACACAAGTAAGGGATGGGATCCGAAGCTCCGATCTGCGTCAACGATCAAAAATCAAAGATGCCGTTCTGTGCGCCAAATAGTCGAAGATAAGGTTGGCCGGACACGGAATGCGTATGAGTGACAACCGATGGACAAGAGCCGCTAGTGACTGGATTTCTCGGTATGTCAAACCTACTGCAAGAAGACCACCGACTCGATGGTCAGAGTTCTTAACAAAAAGCCTTGAAGAAAGATATGATGCTCGACGGGTCTCCAGAGCGCACTGAACCCACTGGGCTACTGTTGCACGCGACAAGGAAAAATGGAAGATTTACTGGCGTCCGCTCAAGTCACTCGACGATCAAAGGGACTGCAGGTGATACAGGTGATTTTGTATTCTTGCTCTCATAGCACTAGATTAGTTTTATAAAGCTCGGAATCAAACAGGTTTGCTCTGCAAAATCCTTACAATTATAACTTTAAACATTTCTTATAATCTTTACAACCTAAAGCGTATATAAGTAGGGCTTTCTTTAAATGTTTGACTATTAATCTGTGTAGCCAGCAATCTTTGCAGTTGATACGTTCTACACAAAATTCTCAGTCTTTACAACCTACAATTTGCACATTTAACATTTCTTGTGGCAATTACTGAAGCATTCTACGATGAAGTATTTGTTGCATCGGTTATGTCCAGTGTTTATCCGTTTGGAACGTATACCAGTGGATTGTGAGTTCTGAGTTTTTGGTAGTGCTTTTTAACAGCCAACGCCTGTTTTTTTTATTCTTTATTTCTTGCCAATTTCTATGACATGGCAAGCTAAGGATATAGGTGTGAGCACTGGGTCTTCAGGAATCTTAGATAAGTAAACCTAAATCTTATAGTCACTGACTGGGATTTTCTATGCACTCTCGCAGTAGATCTTCTATGTTTCCATCAAATACGTTTGGCTGACTAAATGCAAAATAGATGTACGTATCCGCTCGGTGAGTGAATCGGCCCATTAAATTTAAACATTAGCTGGTGGTTCAGTCCGGACTCGCTCTCCACGAAAACCTGAAAATCAAGAGATGTTACAAAATGCCAGTATAATCACTGATCACGCCGAATGACTTCGACTTCATCGTTCTTTCACTTCCAGCAAATTCTGGGTTAGGGAATGAATATCCCTCAGCCTTGAACCCTTCAGTGTCTTCAACATCCTTAATGTCAACATCTTCGTGTCCACACCTGTTAAGGATTCGATCGATATTCAATTCTTTAATCACTTACATTGGTCAAAGCTTCATAACTCGCTATTGACAAACGGGATTTACTACGACATAAAGAAAAGCGCAAACCTTTTATCTATTATCGGATTCACTTACGTCAGTGGGTTAATGTTGCTCACCTTAAATAACTGGTAAATTCCACAAATGCTTAATGCGATACTACTATCCGTCGTCACCAACTAATTAATTTTGAAAGGGAAAGAAATGGACCTGCTGAACAATCTTATACGGCAGCGCATATATGCGGGAGTTCTTACTTTACCAAATTGGGTAAACATGCAAGCAATGGGGGCAGCGCAGTGGTTAGTGATGC